TAGTGGCTTTCTCAGCCTTTTTAACGGACTTGGCGCCATTTCTTTCTTTTGAACAAATGTGCTTCAAATTTTATATATTTTTTACTAAAATACATCTTAGTTACTAACATAGATAAATTATAGTGGAATTCTAAAGTATTAATGTAGTAATTTATGATTTCTTAGTTATTCAAATGTATATATGAAACCTAAAAAAAAAATATTTTATTTCATATCGTCCATGTGCAATTTTTTTAAAGGCTTAGCTACCTACGTCAAGCAGAAACAAGTACAAAGGTCATAATTAGAATAGATAATTATTTGCTTTACTTTATTTACTGTTCTGTGTTTTAGGAAAAATATGTTTTAGAACTTACTTCAAAACAGTAATAATCTATATACATATATATAATGTATAATGATTGAAATGTGACTGTATTTTATAAAATATTTAGTCGACTAAATGTTATTTTATGTTATTGGATACAGTAACATGAGTGCACGTAAGCTGCGTCATTGTAACTTCTGTATTGTTAGCCCGACACGGGTGAAAGGTCAATATAATAAATATATGTATAATGTTATGAGATTTGGCTCTATCCTTACACATGTGTTTTCTCTGTTGTTGGTATCTCTTGGGGAGGGATGCTGTTCTGTCCCACGTTTGGTTACTGCCTACTTCACTCCAGCACTTATGTACGTTACCTTTCATACAGTGGTATGTTTTTGGTAATATTCCTGAGAATTTGGAATCCCGTGTGAAGTTAGTGCAACAGCAAGCTACCCTTTCTTCTTTGGCGGATCATTTGTCTCATTCAGAGCCTAGACATGACCCTGTTACTGTTTCCCATCCAGCTCCTTTCCAGCCATTACCTGTTCCTGCCTCCAGGGTTTCTCATCTCACAGATGGATACGTCACCAACAGTTCTGGTGACTAGCTGGTGGGTTCCAGTCCAGTGGGGGTTCGCTTGACCGATTTTATTCCTCTTTGGCGAGTTTTTACCACAGATCTGTGGGTTATTCGGGTATTATCCAAAGGATTTGTCATTCATTTTCCTTCCCCTCCTCTGTTGTCTCAGGTACTCATTCCCATTCCATTGCCTCGGGATCCTACCACCAGTCCACATCTGCCGAGGCAATACAAGATCTTCTCTCCCAGCAGGCCATCAAACCTGTCAATCATCCTTCTCTCGCTTTTTATTCCAAGCTATTTGTGGTATCCAAGAAAACCGGGTACTGGCGGCCTGTGATTGATTTGTCCCATCTCAACCAATTTTTGATTCTACCCTGATTTACCATGGACTCTTTTCTTACCCTCAGGTGGGCTTTTTCTCTGGGTTTATGGATGACCAAGGTAGACGTCGTGAATGCTTACCTGTATGTCAGTCGAGGCACTATCTTCAGTTTGTTCATTACAGGGTAGTTTATCAATTTTCTGCCCTGCCCTTCGGGATTGCTTCGGTTCCATATTTATTTATTTGGGTGGTCAAGACTTTTGCCAGACATTTGCATGCTGGGGGGTTGCACTTACATCATTACATGGATGACTGGCTTCTGTTAGCTCATTCCAGGAGTCCACCCATCACACTCATCTACTGCTCCTGGAGGCAGCCTGTGTGGGTTGGTTAATCAAATTGGAGAAGTCATTCCTTATACCTACCTAATATCTTGTCCGTTTGGGTGTCTTTTCCAACACTCATCTCAGTCAGGCTCAACCTTTTCCTCTTCAACTTCATTCGATGGAGCTTTCAGTTCTCCACGCTCTTACTGCTCTTTCTCTTACAGCTCACGAGGTTCTATCACTTTTGGGAATACAATCTTCCATGAAAGCCCTTATCCCCTTGGATCGAGTGCATATGAACTCTTTTCAGTGGGCTCTGACCAATGGAATCTTGCACGGGATCCATTGGAGGCTCCTATTGTCCTTCCACCTTCTCTTGTAGGCAATCTGCATTGATGGTTGGACAAGGCTCACATGTCAGAGGGTGTTCCACTTCCTCCCCTTGTCCAGATTTGTATATGTTCACAGACACTTCTCTTCAGGACTGGGGAGGGGGTGTAGGTCGGTCAGCGGTCTGAAAGATCTCAACATAACATCCTGGAGTTTCTGGCTGTACGTCATGCTTTGGGTCATTTTCTTCATCATGCCAGGATCATCTGGTCATGATCCATTCTGACAATTCTACAGTGACGGCTTATATCAATCACCAAGGCAGCCCCCGTTCTCGTTCCCTTTGTGGTCGAACCTTGTAGCTCCTTTTTTTGGGCCCACATACTCGGGATTTGTATACTTGCGTGTCATGTTTTGGATGCTTTCAACCATTTTATTCTATATATAATCCTTAAAAATGAAATATACATGTTGTTTATGTACATGTATTTGATGAAGCATATGTGCAGTACTTGAATAGCTACATAAAGTGAGCTTACATTGCAAGAGTACCCTATTGCACCTAATTAAAAGATTTGCAGCTGACTTAAACAAAAGCTAATAACTATTTAACAGTCACTGTTATAAACAGATTAACAGTCTTAGTCTTTTTAATATACCTGATCACAAAATTCAACCAAATAAACAGAAAAAATATTCAACGTATTTTATATGGAGATCTGAATCTGTAGATATTATATGCATATGTAGACATATAAGGAGTATTTATTAATAGTGTTTTGATTCACACAATGCAAGAAACTGTATATACAGTGTCAAAGAATAGATCTGTCTAAAAATGCCAAAGCTGCAGTCACAATCCATTTTCTTTCTTTAGATGACCAATTAGAAACTTGACATATCTCTACCTCATATGGCAGCTGTAAAGTAACTTCAGACTCAAAGTGACACTGGGAACGATACAACTTTCTCATGATAACATCCCTAAATCATTCCAGAGAGTAAAACCTAGGGCTGAATTGGCGTGTGACCTAGTACCAATTTCATAAGTTCTAAACTGTAACTCCATAAAAACTTCGTTAAATATGTTTAATATATACTGTAGAAAAATATATGTGGTATCTGTGTACCACATAAATATATTTACATGCAAATTTCTTAATAATTTCTAAATGAATAAGCTTCTTTGTGAATTTGGAAATACCATAAAGTTTTAGAACTGTGATTTGGCTTGAAGACAAAATCTGTTGGGAATAACATTATTCTCGAAAGAGTTACTACCCAAAATCCAAGTAAATTTTGATGTAATATAACTGTTTACCAGAGTTTATATTCATTAAGCACTAAATGTTGTTACGAAGAAATTGTAAAATGATGACGTCTCGAGTAA